TGGTGGGATTAAAAGTTTATCATGAGCTTTTACCGCCGGGTAAAACCATCGATTCGGATCTCTACTACCAATAAATAATGAGACAAGCAAGAAATAGAAAAAAATAAACAGCTGGCATTGATAATCAGAAAAGGAGTGGTCTTTCATCGTGATAATGCCAGATCACAAGATTAGTTATCTGTTTGAGACTTTCAATACACACTAACATTCCTAAAAATCCAGTATTTGCTTGAGTACTCAAAACTGGTTTAAAAGTTTTAGTCATTATTTTATTTTGTTGCTGCTTGTGTTCTTTAAAAGAAAGCTTTCTGGAGGTTTTAATATTTAAGTTTATAATTTTTTTTCCATTATAAATGGGATGACTAAATCCATGTTCCTTCAAATCTGTGGTATTAAATATATCAAATAAAACTACTTGTCGCATTATTTTAATCAAAATCACAAGATTTCCACAGAAACGTTTATTTTTTATTATGTCACTACCTACAAGATGGTAACAAACTATTGAACAGTGTGGACCCATATATATTATAATTAAACTATTAAAAACAAAAACGTATTGAATTTGTATACAATATACGAAGAAACTTTTTCCCCGGTCATATATACTAACTAAAGGTGTAACAAAATAGTACTTAATAACTTAGGGAATGATTCTGCCCGTCAACATGAATATTTTTTATTATGGGATCATCTTCGAAATTTTCAATTTATAGGTGATAGACCCATACTGCAGCTATATTGCTGGTATAGTTGTAGCACGAATGGGTCAGCTCGACCGGGGAAGGACCACGCTCTCACAGGATACCAGTGTAAGATAGGAGCTTAACGCTGTTGTGTTTCCTATGGTGAGATTAGAAAACCGGAGACCCTTTTTACTGGAAACGAGGCATTCCATCTTAGTCCTCAGGGTTTGCAACGCATCTGCATTTTGATTCTTAACTGAGGATAAATGTATATGTCTATGGGCCACAGCAACCACTTACCATCAGGTGGACTGAGTGCTCGTTTGTCACCCTGATCCTATAAAAAATATATCAAAGTCAATTATTCCATACAAAATTTCGTACAAACTTGCTCAAAATGTGTGGAAGACGTGATTTTTCTTGCGATTTGGAAGATAGATCTATAGTAAAAGTTGTTCATATTGACGCGTAGAATAGAAAGCACTATTTTGATTACACCATATATATAACTATTTTTTAAATAATTTGTGAATATTAGTTAGACACGTAAATAAAAAAAATAAACTGATAAAAAGGAGGCCTTATCATTTATATGTCATTTATTCAGAATTACATTCGTTATTAATAAACTATTCATTTTAAGTATTTCTGGAATACATTCATAACCATGAACTTAACTACTAAGCCATAGCATAATATAAATTTTCCCGTTAATCGGGTAATAGTTAAACTGCTGGCATATACAATTTTTCACGCACACTAGCATCATGCAAATTGTCTTATACACACTACAATATTAAGATGCCGCATTCAGGGATCTGTTACTTGCAGGGAGCGCGGTATCTAGTCAGAGCGCGCGATGACTTATCATTAATCTATGCGTAGAAACAAAAAAGGGCTATCAGAAATCCATTTATTTCATTACTCATTTCGTTTATTAATAAGAAAGTTATAATGTGAACAGTTTATTTATTAATATTTATTTAACTTTTTAATTAAGATTTATGGGGAAGCTTTGGGATGGCGGCGTAAAGTAATTCATTTTGTTTCAAGTTTATCGTATGAATCGAAGGAAATGATAAAACAGACTAATATCTAAGATCGATGACGTAAAGCTTAGGCCGGCATTCAAAAACAATCTCTATTTTAATCTCAAACTTCATAAATGTCATAATTTGTGTAACATAATGTAGTCTAGACTTAAGTCTAGACTATATTAGGTGCTCCAGTCTGTCGTATTATGTCATACAAGTAGTTTAGCAGTGTAGTGTATGGTGTGATGCGTCCATTACTGCGATTGCTAATACGCCTAATGAACGTGGAAATAAATCCCTCAATTATATATAGTCTAGTGGTCTTTGGTAATATAGTTAATAGCTAGCGATTGTTTGTGTAATGTCAAATTAAATGAATAGATAATTTTTTGCAATTTTTTTCTAAAGACAACTTAAATGACAAACAAATTTATAAACTAAAATATTACATTAGTATATGTTTTATATGCTAAATGTTTCTGATTTTTCCATTATACATGTACGAAGGGTTCCCTTAAAGTGTTGATACGAAAAAGCTTGTTAATCCCTTCAAAAGAAAATACTCAGCGCTTAAAATAATATACCTAAGTATAACAGAAAGAGAGTTAAATCATAATTCGTATAAAAACATTTTATATGTATACGTATAAAACTATTTTTAATAATACTACGTTTTTTAACTGACTACGTTTAATTTACTATTTTAATACCCGACGTTTCGGGTGCTTTACAGCAGCAGCTTTTTTGTTAATTATAGGATCCCATGCAGATGGCAGCATCCATCCATCTTCTCTATTGAAATTAGGATGTTATTTAATTTCAATAGCCTCGCGTATCTTCATTGGTAGGAATCGGTGTTCTTTTGTGAGGATTTGTGGTCTATCAAATCTGATGTAATGCCGGGGACGATCTTGAACATGATCCGTAAAAAAATAGTTTCATTCAATGTGTAGTGTTCGCGTAAATATAAGAAATCATTATGTATACGTATAAAATAAGAGTGCTTTGATGAATATAACACTATGCGGTTATAATTAATAGAATCAGGTGTTACTTTGCGGAAATCCATTATATAAAACGTTTTTAGAAAAATTTACTTCGCAAACATCCGCGCTATAAAATAATATGATGTGTCTTACCTCATATGAACAGCACCTCCCGCCCTCCCTCCATTGCGTGCACTACCCCCGTCACCACTAATGCCTACACTAGTGTAGTGGTGTTGAGAGTAGCGGTGCTGGCATTAGTGGTGACGGGGGTAGTGCACACAATTGAGGGAGGGCGGGAGGTGCTTTTCATACTAGGTAAGACACATCATTTTATTTTATAGCGCGGATGTTTGCGAAGTAAAAAAAAAATTTAAAAGCTTTTATACAATGCAGTTATTAAGTGGTATGACTGCTTTGCTGTCTAGAAGTACGTTTTGTCTTTTTCAAGCAAAATGCTGGCTGGCTTGCTACCGTTGGATATTTTTTAATTATCAAACTATTTTTGCGAGGTTACTCCGTCAATTAATACAAAGTTACGTAACGTTATGCATTCTAAGGTACATAGAATTTTTATCATTTTTGAAATCAACCGTCTTTCTCTTACTTATAACATGCTTCACCATTTTCACCACCATTCACGCATTCACCAACACCACATTGTCATCTTAATAAAATATCAAAAGTTTTTTATGCGGTAGGAGCCACGCTGCAGCTATATTTTGGTTGTAGCACCAATGGGTCGGCTCGACCGGGGTAGGACCACGCTCTCACAGAATACCAGCGTAGAATAACAGCTTATTGCTACTGTGTTTCGTATGGTGCGTGTAGAGAACCGGAGACCCTTTTGGAAACGAAGCATTCCATCTTAGTCCTCATGGGTGACAACGCATCTGCATTTTGATTCTTAATCAAGAATAAATGAAGTTGTCTATGGGTCACAGCATCCACTTACCATCAGGTGGACTGTGTGCTCGTTTTGTCACTTTTATTCTATAAAAAAAAAAATGTAAATTTATGTGTTTATTACTTTTTTATGTTTGATCAAGGTAGCGAATTCTTTAGCAGACTCTATGATGTCATATGATATATTATATAATTAATAAAAGAATGAAAAGCTTTAAAAATTTACTCCTGCTTATATAAAGAATGATTAAAAATGGTGTTTATAATTTGTGTATAAAGCAGAAAATATAAAAATGGAACAATATAATTGTTATGGCAAGGTTGTTCTTCTTGCTATAACAATATGAACAATCGCTCGCTTTTAAACTGACGCTTCTCTGAACTGGTTCGGAGCCAACTAAAAATTAGCAATGCGATCTGGCGGCTTATACTGATATGGTCCCTTCCACTACTTCGTGATATCAAACGATTTTTTATGAAACCTAAGTAACAAACGTACTAACAGTCTACCTGATGATAAGTGTCTACTTCATTCCATGGACGCGTTGTTACCTTGTTACCTTTCAGGACTAAGATAGAATACTTCAAAGACTATAATTAAATACGTTCTCTATTTCCTTCGGACTGGAATACAATATTGCCTGCATTGCTATTTGGCGGCAGTAATAGGTAAGTAGGTGTTACCTAACCGGACGAACTTCTGGACAGAAAAGAAGTCTTACCACCTTACCTTACGAGTATAAGGTAAAAAAGAACATAAAGTATGTTCTTTTAGTAAGTTTTTTTTGCTTTTTTCATGTATCATAAAATTAAATGAATTAAAAACTAAATGAAAACTTTATTTTTGGCCGTAACAAATTAAAATTTCGTTTGTCGTACGTCAACATTTTTTTTTATAAAATAAAAGTGACAAAGGAGCACACAGTCCACCTAATGGGAAGTAGGTGCTGTGGTCCATAGATATCTACATTAATACTCAAGAAACAAAATACAGAGGAGTTGATGAATGCCTCGTTTCCAGTAAAAATGGTTTCCAGTTCTCTAAACTCACTGAATGCTGCTATTTGACGTCGGTATTCTAAATTCTAGGCTGACCTACCCCGGTCGAGCCGACCCATTCATGCTATAACCATGACATAGCTGCAGCGTGGCTCTACTGCGAACATTTTTTTTTTTAATTTACTATCGTTTCAAAATAAGATTCCTCTAACCGGAAAAGACACGACGAAAGAAATTCCGCAGGAATCATCCTTCTCTCTCTCTCTCCCTCTTACTTATTCTTAATCAAAATTACAACTTAGACCCATAAGTTCAATAAATAAAATAAAAGCATATTCTGTAATAAAATAACATATTATGTTACAGTAAGACATCTTTGTTGTGTGCAGGTGCTCACGTCAATCCAGCAGTGTCCGCCGCTTTGTGTATACGACGTCGGGTGTCGCCGCTACGTGCTGCATTGTACGTGGCTGCTCAGTGCGGAGGTGCCGTTGCTGGTGCAGCCGCCATTTACGGGTGAGTCTTGTTGATACTTAAATATAATATCTAAATATCAATAGTTGCCAATTTATAGCCCAGTGAATTCATGGGTTCTATGTGACTTTAAAGAAGTAACATTGTTACAATTGAAACAAGCTTTTATTATAAAAATATCACCATTTCGACGCAAGTACACCAGTGTGACTGGTTAGTCACATATCACTTTTTATATATACCAATATTTTTGGTTTTATAATTTGTTCTGAGTGGCTCACTGCTCTTTGGACTCTGTTTGCTTCCCTCAGGGATTACAGGGGTGACAAATATGTATGTACAAGTCTACTGTTGAATATAGGCCTCCTATACGGAATGCCCTTTGTAGGATTTCTTGTGGTATGTCGTTGAATGTGTCCGAGTGGCTTTAGTGGCTACTGGAGCCACCTGCATCCATCGGCTTCTTGCACCACTTACCAGGCTGTCACTCCATCTAGTGGGAGGAGGGGCACCCTACACTTCGCTTACCGGTACGAGGCTGCCATTCGAGATCTTCTTCCCATCAGTTGACGGTTCTCCGAGCTATATGGCTAGGCCATTGTCCTTGTGACAAATAGTAAAATAATGGTGGTGTGCACTTTTTACTAATAGTAACGAAGCATGCGATAGATGTGGATATGTCTACGAGTCACATTAACTTGCTATCAAGTGAAATGTGTGCTAGTCTATCACCCTAAATTGTATAAGAACAAAAATGAACTTGATCACAAAATTAAGGTCTTATAATAATTATTTTTTTAAATAGTCAGTGAAAATTAATTACAATATACAATCCTTTCAAAATTTATTCCGATTGGCGAGACTTCCATACATATTTTTTAATGATGAATGTTTACGAGTGTAATCATACCATTTATGATTATAATGTATGTATCCTCGAAAGCTTTTCCTACTGCTGTTGGCTTAACGAAGTTGACTTTCGACCACTTTCGACTATCGTCAACGCTTGTAAAAACTATAAAAATGAATTAAATCAATGTCAAGTGACATTATATGCGTTAAAGATTGTAGATAAAACCATTGGACTTATATATATATATATATATATATATATATATATTACTTTGAAATCGTTGGATAAAACATAGTAATTATACTCTTTAATTGTAGAAAGATTTTGCTTACTCCACTGAGCCTTTAGGAGAATGCTCTCAAATATATATAATCCAATAATCAATGGAGAATGCACTGGAGTGCATGACTTTAAAGATTATTCCGCGTCAGCATAGGTTTGGCAGTGAATTTCTAATTCATCAGTCGAGCGTCAAAGCCTTGTACGCCAATCAACAAAGAACACTGTAGACAGGTTAATTTGGCATTTAGAGTAGAAGTTTACACGTTCCCACCATACGCGCATTGTAAGTTATAATTTCTACTTGTTTTAGAATCAACAGGTGAAATAAGTAGATTTTAACAACACCATTAGGTTTGTCTTCTTATAATTTGCTACAATGATTTGCATTGTAGCTTTTGCAACGTCTGTAGGATTTATTACATTTGTTTATTTTATTCACTGAATCCACATTCTTTTTCTTTTTGAATTTTATTACCACTTGAATGTTTTATATGCCTGTATTTGGTTTAAGGGATTTATACAGAGCGAGCCGAATCCGTGCCTTAGTTATAAAATGTTTAAAATAACAGTTTGGAATGAAATAAGTTAAGTTGGTTTTAAAGTAATTGTCTATATCTACACATATAAATATAATTGAAGTGTCTTGCTCTTGCTATATTATCGAAACAGCTGTCTTATTTTGAGCTGTTGGGGTTACGTGCATGATATTAAGATATAAATTATCAATTTAAATCTTATTATGAAGGCTTATTTGCATGCCATTATGACGTAAAATAAATATTTTTATAATTGTTGTATGTTAGCGGTTAGTCAGCGCAGTCTACATCACCTGAAGATGCCTCGTGTAGAGGCGAAACACGTGTCGTATTGTCGTCAGTGGTGTGTATATCCTAGTGTAGTGGTGTTGGGAGTAGTTGTGCTGGGATTAGTGGTAACGGGGATAGTGCACGCAATTGAGGGAGGGAGGTGCTCTTCAAATTAGGCAATACACATCATTTTATTTTATCGAGCGGATGTACGCGAGGTAATTTTTACCAACTTTAATATAATGGATTTCCGCAAAGTAACGCCTGATTCTATTAAGTATGTCTGTCTGTCTGTCCGTGTTAATCTGAGGAATGGTTGAACCGATTGTAATGAAACTTCACGGACAAATAGAGAGCAATGTCAGGAAGGATTTAGGCTATATTTTATCCGAAAGACTTGGAGATTTTCTTTTCTCGAGTAATCGAAATATTGATAAAATAAATGGTCTTCGATAATTACCTTAAATATAAAACACCACATTTCATATAATTTCATATATTATATATAAGACCGTGAGTCGTGTTGTAACATCCGAATAGATAAATCACCGTTTGCAAAGGAAACCACAGTGGATCACACTTAGTGAAATGAAATTTTATGTTGTGAAATAGAAACGTGTTCTCATATGCCAAACACATTTTTCTTCTTTGTAAAACATTAAAAACAATTTTTCAAATTTCTCTTTTTTAGTACAGTGCAAATTACGTATAACTACTTAGTGCTATTATATATTCTGTGGTATAACATAATATTTCTACGGTAATTTAACCGATCGCAAACAAACTTTGCGTTCTGAATAAATTATGTGAATGACTTGAGTAGAGCTAACTTTGTTTTTAGTTCAGAGGTAGCAGTGCTGTTAACTGTTATACTAAGATAACACAGTCAAATTCATAAACTGAAATAGTAAAACGAAAAGAATCTAACATCTCAAAAGATTAGATTTCTTTTAAAAAAGCAAACTATTATACATTGTATCTGAAGATTAGTGCTTTGGATCAGTAGTATAATTATCTAAAAACCAATTCAATCCCATTTTGTTTTTGCTATAACCTTGAAAACTGTGTGCGATATGGGAAACTGTTTAAGGTTAATTTAAGATCTATTTTCACGTAAAAAGGTCTTATCAACATATCATTCAAAACTCATAGTTTTCTTATAGAATGGTGTCGAAGTCAAAAAAATACTAAAATTCGATTTTACATTAAAACTTCAAGACATAGAAGATGAAGTGTTGGAACATTTTTGTGTAAAATTACAAATTAAAAAAAAGTTAAATTCGAATTGTTGTTCAAATAATGTCCTGAGCCACCTGCAATCCATCGACTAACTGTGTGTTTCATCAGGTCGTCCGCTTCATCTAATGGTGAGACGCCAAACACTGCGCTTTCAAGTCCTGCCACTCGAGCACCTTTTTTTTCTAATTGGTCGCCAGTTTCTCAAACTATATCGCCGGCTCATTGCCACTTCAGCTTACTGATCCTCTGGGCTAAGTTAGTTACTCTTGTTCTTCTGTAGATATCCTCGTAATGGATTTTATTCTATAGCGAAATTTCGAACCTAGACCTTTCCATTGCACGCTGAGTAAGCTTCCTCATTCGTCCAGTAGTGTAGGACCACGTTCCAGTTCCGTAAGTCATCACTAGCAACACGCATTATTTACATACATACACACATGTATGTAAATAAAATTTTGTCATACGATAGCTTTATAACGAATCAATCGATCGAGATAGGCGACACGGCGTTCGAAAGTGTTCATTGAGATTTCGAGCTAAATTAGATTTTCAAGTCAATCGGTCGAACCGTTTCAAAGATTAAAAAAATTTTTTTTTATAGGATAGGGTGACAAACGAGCACACAGCCCACCTGATGGTAAGTGGTTACTGTGACCCATAGACATCTACATCTATCCTCAATAAAGACTCAAGATGCAGATGCGTTGTCACCCGTGAGGACTAAGATGGAATGCCTCTTTTCCAGTAAAAGGGGTCTCCGGTTCTCTACACTCACCATACATTTTAACAGTGGTAGAGCCACGCGCGGCAGCTTTTGCTATCGCACGGATGGGCCGGCTCAAACCGGGGTGGTACCACGACCTCACAGAATACCAGCGTGAAGTAGAGGTTTACCTCTGCGTTTCACTTGGTGAGTGCTGGTGGCCGGAGGCCCTTTTTACTGGAAATGAGGCATTCCATCTTAGTCCTCACGGGTGAAAACGCATCTGCATTTTGATTCGCAAACGAGGATAGGTGTAAATGTCTATGGGCCGCAGCAACCACTTACCATCAGGTGGACTGTGTGCTTGTTTGTCACCCTTATCCTATAAAAAAAATACGACACATAGCAGCGTTAAGCTGTTATTTTACGCTGGTTTTCTGTGAGAGCGTGGTCCTTCCCCGGTCGAGCCGACCCATTCGTGCTACAACTATACTACTAATATAGCTGCAGCATGGCTCTACCACGTAAAAAAACCAAAAAAACAAAAATTAAGAACCAAGGATGTCCTGCAAGGTTTACCTAATTGGAAATTGGATTTACCTAACTGGACATTATTCCAAGTTATATAACTCGTCAACAACTTCAAACGTAGTATTACCTATAACGAACAGTAAATGTACAACACAGGTGTAAGACATGATTTTTGTCTTGTTTGTTTTGTTCATATATATCTTAAAGACCTACCCGATAGAAGACACTACTGAGGTCGTTGAGCATAGTGCTAAGGCTGTCCTGGGATTCTGCCATGATAAACTACATCGTCGGCAAATCGAAGGTGAGCGAGTAAAATAATCATCAAAAAACATTTATTTTATCAGTTATCGATTTAAAAAAATCCTGCTTGTTTTTCTGATAAAATAAAACCTAGACCACTTCTAGCATTGATCTCTATCTGTTTGTGAAGTTTCATCATAATCTTAGCTATTCCTATTGAGTTATATGAACTACGTACTAGAGAAGCTATTCCAAACAAAAATTGTGCGCTACTCTATGCCTTCACGCATGCGCGCATAATCTAAACAAACATATTTCTAAATAATATGTAATGATAATTATCTTACCGAATTCACAAATCTTCAATTCACGCAATATTTAGTTTACGG